ATACACTGGGTCCACGAAGTCGGGGTAGGCAAGAACACGTCCAAGTTCGGCTAAGGACGCCTGGAGGGCCGCAGATGTCGAGGGAACGGCTATGTAGTTGCCGCCAGTCCCGCTGCTTGGTGTTCACTTTGAAGGGAAGGTTTTGCAGCTTCTCAACTTTGTCCAGCTTCAGTGGCTGCCAGCTCCAGGCCGGGATCCCGTAACCCTGGCATCAGACGTCGTCTTTGGAATATTGTGGGTCGTGCCGCCTGGCAACTGCGCTTGGGATTCCGGCCGTGTCTTCGAAAGAGCATCGTTGACGATGCAGGGCACTTCCATCAAGCTCGGGTAGAAATTCTGCTCGCTGAGATCCACCAGACGGCCTAGGCTCATGAGGACGAGCTGCATGTCGTCATCTTCACACATTCCTGGCGAACTTCTCCCAGCTATAGTAGTTCGTCATCACCTCAGCAACGACATCAGATTGTACCTCAGCACGGGCAGCGCTTACAACACCGAGTGACCTCTGCTGACATGTCAAAGGTGTATCAATGTTGGTAGTACGCATCGATTCTGCACACCAATTCTACATGAAGCACGGGTGTCGCTTCAGGAATTTGGCACCGGGTCCACACGAAATTGAGCTGTCCTCCTAGAATCAACAGGCCCCGAATCCCGCCGCGCACCTTGTAGTAGTAGTTGGCTCAGCCGTGTGTTGTCGCTGTTGACGATGACCGAGGTAGTCCATGATGACCTGCGTGTCCAGCATCGTGCGGAAACGACCCATAGCTTGCCACACCACTCTGTCGCGCATCAGCAGCTTGGAGTTCTTGAAAGCCCTGTGCAACTTGTCACTGTCAACGAAACCGACCAACCTCCCGTTGGACATCACGTCCGCACCCAACCGCTCAAGCTGCAGCCACACTTCGTGTGCAAAAGCCACCGCGGTCTGTCCCGCTTGCACGCTTTTGATCAGGTCGTCGCGTACCACCATCAGCAAGCGCTCGCTTTTATTGCAAGCGGTTATGCGCTGGAGCGCGATGGTGAGCTCGGGCGACAGGCTCATGCTGCGTGCCTGCTGATTCCCAAACTGGCTTCCCAACTCGCCACACAGAGTTCACGACCGGCCGCGCCGATGGCATGATAGGCTCTGCAAACTACCCCTGTATCCTACACAATATGCGATGCGGTCACTGCATTATCTGTGCCAACTTTTCTTTGAAAGCTCCTGGAGCCGGAGCCTTCAGTTTTGCGCACAGCAAGCACACTCTCTTGATCGCGGTTGCTGGGTAGACTAGTCTTAGCAAGAATAGTCAAAATCGCCTCACAGAAGCAGAAGCCGTAGCATCAGTCCCCAAGGGCAAAAAATGGCAGCAATTCCCATCATTCATGATGGTGAGAAGGGCAGAGCTGCGAACACGCAAGATACCCGACGCCTTCGCAGCAAAGATGGCCAGAACGCCAGTGCCGCAGCCGACATCCAAGACTACCTATTATGAGATTCAACGGATAAAGCCGGCTTTGCTCAGTGTCCCCACTTTGCCTTGTCACGAAAGTCCGCAGCATTGGTCTCAATGGCGTTTCGGTATGCCTGCGTCCTGACCGAGTCCTGGAGCATAGTCATCCTCGGCAGGACAGCACGACCAAGGTTCGGTCCAAGACTTGAAAGGCCACTCCCCAAAAGACCCATAGTGCCATAGTGGCCGTTTGGCAAAAGCGGAGCAGCCCCATCGGATCTTGAGGTCTCTGCTCTGTCACCCTTGTCTTTACTTTGGGAAGCCATCTGTGCGACCTGGGCGCTGCTCGTGTAAGCAGCCATACTGGTTGAAGTAGCTCTCCTGCAGTTTCATCTTTTCCGAGACGCGCCATGCAGTGCAGCACCCAAACGAGAAAATGACGTTGATAGATTTCTCTGTTCGGAGGAAGATGGTGATGGTTATAGGATGCATACGGAAGATGAAACTGGCTGGCCGCAATGACAATAAAGAAGATGTCAGTGATTCTTGTTGATGCTGGTGATGTGAAGCCCGAAGCCTTCCCGTCCTTGTCTTCTTCAGTCGGGGCGTAACCGTCCAGCAATGACAGGCGCTCCGGATGGGTCCGCTGTATCACCTCCACCAGTTGTCAAAGCTATCCGCCGCCGTGATCATGTTGTCAGTGACTTTCAGCTTTCATCATCGCTGGAATTATCAGCTAACCGCACTCTGCATGGCCAAACGTGTCATGCTCGGCATTGTCTTGACCAACATGACGACTTATCATCATCATCACCACCGTGATGCTGATCAGGATTGTCAGGATCCTGATGATGGCCGCGTCAGGGATCCCTATTTGGCCCGAAACCTCAACCTAGCAGCTTCGCCTCCAAGACCGTTGGTCCTCGACTGCGTGTCGTGGAGTCGGTCCACTCGGGAGAACCGACCTGAAGCAGCAGTAGCATGCGACGGTTTCCACAAATCGTGACAGTAATGTCAAACAGTTCTCCATGTTCCATCTTCTCACTTTCGCAAGCCGAAGGGCCTCCGCCTTCCATGCCCGACGGCTGCAGCGAAAGCCACGAGGCCAAAAGCCGAGACCCCCGAGGCCTGCAGTCAGCAGGGCGCAGTCGCAGTCGTAGCCAGCCGGCAGCAGCATGCAAACGGGACACCGACTTCTAAGCGGGTCGGGCTGAAACGCAAGAACGAAGCGGCCGTCATCATCGTCGCAGTAGAAGCAAAGCAGCAGTAGAGGAGGAGGAGTAGAAGAAGTGCCATCCTCGCCCAAACCACCCCAAAGCCCTCACCGCCGAACACGTCTGGCAAACGAACACCCCGGGCCAGCTGCAGCAGCAGCAGTAGCAGAAGCTGTAGCCGCGGCCGTAGCAGCAGCAGTAGGGGCAGCAGCAGGGGCACCAGCAGCAGCAGCGGTATAGTGGTTGTGGTGGTTGCTGTGGTGGTGGTGGCCGTGGCGCGGGGAGGACGAGCAGCAGCCACATGAACAGCCGTAGAAGAAGTCAGCAGCAGCAGAGCGTAACCTGGCGCCCGCGATCCTGGACAGGCCTGTGATGCTCACAGCCCACAGGGATGCCCACCGGTGCTGGCGGCTCATGCGGAGCACATAAGGCTGTAAGGCATATTAAAAACATTAAGGCATAACGAGTCCGCCTTGGTCAGGTTGGGATGGTCTTTCGGTCTTTCGACTGCAAGAGTGCTGCTCAGTTGAAGTGACGCATGTTCGATGCCAGTTGTTACTCTCTGCAATCGGACTAAGCTAGGGTATTTGGGTGGAGAAGCTGCCCGCTCTGTCCGAGAATTCTCATGCATCAGCTTACAGCTCAGAGCATGAATGCAAGTTGCATCTTACAGCCTTCACACGCATCAGCCGAAATGTTTGAATGTGTTGGATGCATGGGTCGCTGCACACAGTGCTTGAGACCATCGGGCCAGTTGCAAGTGACGCTTGCTGCAACAAACCAACTCTCTTCTGATGCCGAGAGCCCGTCACGAGGATGGCCAATTCGCGAGCATATGTCGTCATCTGGAAAGGTCATGTGGAAGATCCCCCGTCATGCTCCGGGTCTGGTACGGTCTTACATGAACTTCCGAGCGCTTGCCACAATTCTGTCCAAAGGCAGCGTCCTACAGCCACGTCTTCACCCAGGTGTACCTTACCATCACCTTCTGACGGTCCTCCCTCCCGTACAGCACACACGAACAAGCTGCCGATGACTGCATTTACCGGGAAGCCTGCTCGAACAGATAACTCTCGTGCAGATGCATTGAAGATCATTGTAGCAGCGAGTGTAAAGGCTAGGAGAACTCGGATCTGAGACGTTGGCTGCATCTGTGCCCAAAGCCCGGAGGGCCCTCATCGCACCCCAGCCTCGAAACAATGCTCTAGAACACCGGTGCAACAGCCCTGATGAATCCGAGCGCCAGGCGTGCCGCAACGTGCTCTGATTGCAGGGCGTCGGCAAGTTGGGCCGCGTACTCGGCAATGCCCTGAGCTCTCGCTGCGGCAAAGCTTCCCTCGAGGCCATTCATGCTGAAGACGAGCACTCTTCTCTCCAACGAAGCCACTGAGATGGGCCCACACTGTGGAAGGCCGGTTGCTTCCAATGACTTCAAGAAGCGAAGCTTTGGACACCGCTTACACGAGGATCTTTGATCCTAGTCTTCCTCCGGGGGCCAGGCGACACGACCACTGAGGGCCTCGAGCACACGGATGGCCGCCAGCTGCACGTGAGGCACCTCTACCATCTTTGGAGGTACAGTATGTCAGGGTATGGCGAATATAAGGTACTGTAATATATCACAATATAATACAGCGAAACGCAATATGATGTCCTACAGCCTTAGCGGCTTCGAGTGTGACTCGCTGCGGCCTTGTCTTGCAGCGCGGTGTTCATCAGGCGAGGGATGACCTCCCGCTATTCAAAGCTTCCGAGCACTCACCAAAGTCACCAAAGGTAACCATCCCTGCGCTCACACGCCATATAGATGATGCTAGTGTTCGTGTAAGGGCTACTAGTCAAACAATTGCCTCTCCTCCGATATCTGCCTGCCACCCTACGTCCACGTGCCAATGACATGCGATTGCTATGGTTGCTCAACGTGGCCACGTCGACGTCTGCAGTGGTGAATGTGGTGATGACGATGTCTTTTGCTGATGATGATGGGTGATCATGATAAATCCGTTAGTGGCAAACAGTGACAGGTGATTGGGATGGTGACGGCGTCTGTCACGATGATGGTGGTGATGGCGATTCATGCTGCCCTGAACTCATCTAACCTTGCGTCAACCTATTGCCCAAACCCTGAACCGCCCGAACCCTTCTCTGTGAACTGGTGTGAGCCTTCTCCGAGGGACTCTGCACCTCGGGAGAGGTACTCTCCTCAGCAGGGCGGCAAGCAATACTGCATGCGCATGCGTGTGTGCGCGTGTGCCCTATATATATATATATATGCACACAAGACATATATATATATATATATATACATATATATATATATGTGTGTGTGTGTATATATATATATAGATATGAGTGTGCATATGTATACATACATATATAGTTATTTACTTGCTTATGTTTTCGTGTCTTTATGTATTTGTACGCAGTACTGTATAATACGATATAGAACAAACGGAGTAATGTAATTCACTATCATATAATGTAAAACAATAAAATATAATATGATAGAGTATCAAAATCATAATATAACATAGCATAACGTAATATTCTAAAATACAGTACAATAAGCCCAAAAATAATATACGATAACATTACATTATATTATATTGCGTATCGGCTTACATCGTATTATTTTGATTATTTTGTATCGCATATCCAATGTTTCTGCCCGACTTTGCGCTATACTCGCAACACAAAACGAGACCTATCGATGCTTCGAGCTATTGGCCCCAGCCACAGACCGGCACGAGCACCTTGTACCACAAATGACAACTTTGAAGCTCAAAGGCTGGGCTCGCAGCTGACGCCGGGGACAATGCCTGTCCATGCGGCAGGGGACTCTTGCCGAGTGTCAGGAGACATGACTGCTCCCGTGTGCGACAAGTGCCTCCCAATCTACGCTTGATTTGTCTGATCGCGGCGGTTTGAAACTGCCACAGGACAAGGGACATGGAACCAGGGCTGGTGCGAGACAAACTTGCTAGAATCAAACGATCGTCTCAAGATTTGTGTGTGGAACATGATCTTGCCTCGCCATCAGGAAACTCCACAGACAAGAGCGTCAGAGCTGCAAGCTCTCGCACGTCTTCGTCCACGTCCTGCAGGACTGTCCCCACACCATTATGATAGAAAAGCTTTCGGCTTTCCTGTGGCGTCACATAACAGCTTGCCCTAACGCGCCCTACACCCTTGCTGCTCATTAGCCACTGTACTGCACAGGTTTGGTGCTGTGGCGTCGTCTGCGTTTGAAGTCTCGTAGCCAACACGACGACACGCAGTTGCCAAGGCATCTTCATATCACTTGGGGGCGCTTCGTCTTAAAGAAGCCATGGTTCCATCACCAACTCCTCTAAACCCGACTGCACCTTTGCCTTCTCTGCGAGTGGTAACCCCAAACCTTAACCCAAATTCAACAAGACTCCCCTTGCCTTGTTTAGGCTATGGCACCTAGGTAGGGTATTGGGAATATTCCTAAAATTGTAAACTTGGGTTGGGATCATCCTACTGGGACTGAGATCTTAAGATAGATGTTATCCTTGGGTGTGGGGTGAGATCTTAAGATGGATGTTATCATAGGGTGGGGGCTGGGTGGTGCCATACACCTAAATAAGCAAGGTATCATCTTTCTGGCACTCCAGCAGAGCCGTGCCCACTGCCATAGCATGCTGCAATGCGCAGGGACCTGAGAAGGTGGAGGATTTCTGATCTTCGGGGATGCTCCCATGGCAATACTAACTCTGCAGGAAGAAATACAGGATGGGCAACAACGGCGACAATGCTCTGAAGCAAGCATCATCACTTTATCAGTACTATCCCAAAACTACGGCAACCGTCTACAAATCCTTCCCGCCTTGGGTGCGCAAGGCCTCCACAGCAGCCAACCTTTCCGAGCGGACCCCACCCACACCGAGCACACGCCCCAAAGCAGCTCCAGCCGCAGGCGCTCACTTAGAGCCCGGCTTGGTCGCCAAGTCATCTTCTCCCCCTGGCAAGACAGGGATGCATTGGGTCCTATATAGATACATGTCTCTCTAAAAACATACAGTGGAGGTTGTTTCATTCATAAATATATATATATATATATGTGTGTGTGTGTGTATATATATGCATATGTTCATGTAGATCCATGTTTATGTTCATGCCCATACTTCTGAATATAGATGCGTGCACGCTCCTCTATCTATTTGTATCTCTTGTACTATATATTTTCGTATACATCTACATATACGCATGTATACATGTATGCAAACATGCACCTGTGTACATGTACTATATACGTGTGTACATATATCTGCCATATTTTGCATATTTACATATGTACAGACATCCACATACACACACACATGTGTATACATATATATATATATAAACACGCATATGTGTGTGTGCGCATGTGTGCATACATGTATGTATGGATGTAACATACAAGCTCGGAGTACAAGCCGTGAGCTCGACATACAAAAATACGAAATTTACCAACACTTTCAACTCCAAGTCCAAGTCATCACCGACTTTTTGCAGGGGGGCCACGCATGAGGTCCTCTGCACTAAGAGACTTTTCCGGGTCTCCAAAAGAGGCGACGCTTCTTCTCAGGTTGTGGTCCTGAGACCCTGAAGTTGGCGTCCAAACTAGCGGGAGATCCGGAAAGCAGGGGCAGAAAGCGCAATGGATCCTGGCCATCACTTCAAATCTTCCTGCTCGCCTTCTTTCGAAGTGAACCGTTTGAAGCAAATGGCCGGGCTCCTCCCGCCTTGTTGCGCCTTGGGCGCCGCTCGGCGGGTGCGGATGCCAATTTCGCTGAAGATATGCTGCTCTTGCACATTCTTGCCGTGCGTGTTCTTCATTTCGATACATGTACCGGCACACTTCTGCCATCTCCTTTTGATGCCACAATGATGATTACCGCCGCCACTTCGGAGGCATTCAGAATTACGGGACACGATGGCCAACATCACTCTCTGCTCGACATCAGCGCAAGCGCGCCATGACCGCCGGACCTCACACAGCAGGTTCATCGCAAGGGACGAAGACACCAAGTCGTTACACTAAGCCTGAAGGAAGCGGGCTTCATGCCGTCCAGCTGCAGAAGTCCTTCAAGGTTTCCTGAATTTCTTCCATCACGTAGGTCAGATGGCTCACCTCGAACACGCGTTTTTCTGCGCTGAGTGCGACGCAGTCCGTCAAACTCATCCAAAGTTTGGAAATTTTGAGTGGCAGAGACGGCCTTCAGCTGGATCGCCACGATGTCCGCTTTCCTCGCACTCGGATGGTTTAAGTGGTCTTGGTTTAGAGTTTCGACGGCCACAACTTGCACCAGGCAGGCAAGGCAGGGTTTGGGTTTTTGCAGTGAGTGGAATCCGACTGCCGGCCAAGCTTCGAAACGTCACCTCGCAACCTGAGCAGTCCCACGTCTTGAAGAGCCGGCTACCACACCCATGAACCCCACAAATTGAAAACCCAAAAGCACTAGAATGCGAAAACACACTAAAACCCAAAAACTCTAGAGCCCCACGCAACACCGTAAGCACTATCATCAAAGGTTTGGGGGGGAGCAGAAAAAATACCGAGCCCAGTGGCTGCATCAGCCCCGTCACGAGCTCATCGGCCGACAGCTCGCCTTGCCGGCCCGGGAAATCATAAGTGTCCCTAGCGAAAATGTGGTGCTGTTGGTTTTGGTACGAATAGGGTTTGTAATAGCGGGTCTATATATGGTCTATACATATAATATGGAGCCCTGTATGGGGGCTTCGAAATCACGCAGGGGCTCGCTCGAGGCAGGCAAAGATCTCAGAGTATCCCAGAGTGTCCACAAGTACTGGAACGCCGCCCCAGCATCTTGTAGCAGGGCAGCCAAAGGGAGGAAGTAAAAGGGTTTACAAAGTACTCGGATCCCGCAAGCAATGGACTGCCTTTTACCTACCAGTGCCAGCAAAGGATATATCTTAGAGCCCCATGTCTGCAAGCTCAAACATTGTCTTCAAGCTGCCACCCATGTCAACGTCCAAGATGTCGAACATGCGAAACTTGTCGGACATGTCCTCAAAAGCTGTGGGACGTGCTGCAACAGGATCAAAAAATTCACCCGAGCTGTCTGAGCTGAGGGTCCACATCAGCTTCCTCGAGCATCGTGACAAACTCGGGATCCTGAAGCCATACCGTGAACCTTGGTTGTTTGGACTCTCGCGACTCGAACGATGCAGGCGAGGCTTGTCCGGTTCGAAGGGAGGCATGTGTGGCCCCAGCCGGTCGGCAGAAAAATCAACACAACTGCCCGCAGTCCCCGTAAGAACAAGAAGCCAGAACTTTAATTTAATGCCCAAAACCCAGAAAACGCTACAGATGTGGACAGCCGGTCAGGAGAACATAGAAACTCCTTTCGAGGTTCTATCCCAGAGCAAACATGGCATGGGTGTAACCAAGGCACAAATGCATAAAGTCATCATTTGCCAAAATCCCAGTCAACGTGAATGCATCAGGATGCTGTGAAACTACAAGGATTCATGTTGCTACTGGCGACATCACGACGACAGGATGTTACGGTATAGGTTAATCGTAAGTGGACATGTTAATTTGATCACATCATGCCTGCTTCGTCGTACTTGCGTTACTTCCAAGATACTGTTTAGCGCTTGTGCAGGACAGCGACCGTGTCTGCAGTTTTTATGGGCCCTGGGGAAACATATCTGGGAAACCCGCCATACAGATACTGAATGCTGGCGTCGTATCCCCTTACATGCCTTTCTGCGCAAAGCAGTCCTACGGCTGAGGCTTAAAAGGATCACAGGGTGCCATGAACACATCATTCATTTCAGGGACATGGGCATGCTACACCTGCGGCCTACGACGATCATGGAGGTGGGCTGTCGTGGGCCAAGCAGCGTGCCACCCCTTTTCCCCGGCAGCATCATGCAATCACCACTTCAGCAAAGTTTGTGTCTGCATGCGTCCTCCTGGCTGACACCCGTACACTGTCCAGGTCCTCGTCCTCCCATTGTTCGGCCAGGGAAAGCGCCGACTGACCCCATAAGCTGCCATAACGGGCACAAGCGACCGGGTCAGCCCCATAGCTCAAAAGCATAGAAGTCAAGTACAGGCTTTCTTTGGTAATCCAGACCGAGGAGAGGGCGTAGCTCGCGCTTCCAATAGCTTCAATAGCTGAGAGCATGTGCCAAACTCGAAGTTGCAGATTGCATAGATGAGGGGCACACGACCTCGAGAGTCAGGTGTATTCACGTCGGCCAAAAGGGCAAGAATGCAATCGAAGCTGTGCGTTTCCATACCAATAGTCAGGGACAGGAGCGGCGTTCGCCATCCCGGGTGATCGTAGCCTGCACGGATCAAGCGGTCAATGTCAAGCCAGTGATAAGCTAATACGAGTATGGCATCCACGTTGAATTGCAGCATCAGTAGGAGCAGGTCGTCCCAGCAGTCCTCCTCCATCCCTGGTGAAGCAGAACGTTCGTCAAGTAGTATTGGGGCTGTGCCAAATGCCCCAGCAACATCACTGCGCAGTGTCGAGGACGAAACTGCAACTGGTTGAGTAGCCCATACCAGGCGCGGTGTGGTTTCTAGCCACTCATCGACTCCCTCAAAGAGGTCCTGGCAAAGAGGGCCGATCCGCCGCGACACCCGAAGCTCGATCGCCAGAGAGTCGTCCAACATGCTCGGGGCGGTTTGTGCAACTAGCAGGTAGGGGCCAGTGCGGCCCCCGCCCCCCACCTTTAAGCAACTTACTGATCTAGTGCACTGTCATTGCGCCGCTTGGGATCCATAAAGGCTGCGTTCATGAAGTGGGATGCACGAGGTACAAAACTGCAGCTCAGGACAAGAAGCCACCCACAACCAATCAGTGTGCAAAACCGGGCGTTGGTTAAAACAAGCTCGAATGCCAGCAATGTCGCTTAACCTGCCGTTCATCGCTCGCGCAGGGCCGTGCGAACCCGCGCCCGGCGTGCTCCCAACTCGAGTAGCACCTTTTCAAACTCATTTCATGCAATAAATTCAAACACCAAGTTGAATACATTGGAAGCTTGTAAGTGTAAGTGCAGGAGTCCAAGTATTTAGTGTGCGACCAGAAATTTCACCACTCCCCCAATTTTGCAAAAGTCTGCACTTGCACCAAATTCGGTCCATGCAGGCTGGAAACCGCTAATCCATGCAGATTGATTAGTTTGAAGCCTGCAGATGCAGTAGTCCCATCACCAGGCGTTCGCCCAGTATCTCACCACATCACCAGCTTTACCAAGGTCTGCAATTGCACCCTATTCAGTTCATGCAAGTTGCGCACGGAATTCTTACAATTCACGCATTCGCCTCCAGACCAGCCGGGAGCACATGCCCTTTTTGCCAGTTGACCTGCAACCAAGCAAATAAATCCATCTTCCGGGGGTGTCCGTGGCAGGGCGCCGACGTTTGTCCAGGAGATCGTCAGCGAGCACGAACCAGCAACGAATTCGGATTCCGTTTGTCGCCGAGGATGCGGCAAGGGCAACATCCTGGGCAGTCTAGTTTTATGGGCGTTGCGAAGAGTAAAACCTTCTGGGGGCCCAGGAAGAGCATCCTCGTCTCATGCTGACTCATGCCTGCTCCTGTGAGGCCCTGCGGGCCTGGACCGTTGCGACAATCCAGGTGGGGATCGGAGGGGCTGTCTACACATCCCTGGCGGATTATGTAAATACTGAAAAGGTGTTGGCGAGCCACACACCTACGGTATCTAGTTGCCAGGCAAGGGACATCCAAACAGTGTGTCAGAAGTCAGAAGGACTACATAGCCGCCGAAGTGTTTTTTGGCCTTCTGCTTGGCCTGAGTCTCACGCAGCAAAGGCTCCCCTGGTTGTAGCCACGGGCCTCCGACAAATTGGCATCGTGTCGAAGGCATCCTGAATTTAGGAAGCCCGTGCTCTCCGGTTCCCACAAGTTTCCATCAAGCTGGGCTCTGCAGAAAAAATCACGACACCCACGCCTACTTAGGCGCCTCTCAGGGACGGCATCGTAAGGATCACAGGTTAGGATCATCCGCGCTGCTCTGTCTTGCTGCCTTGATGGAAGCCCTCATACTCGGCCTTCTTCAAGCAGCCGCCTGTTTTTTTTGCGCCTGGCCGCGCAGCAGCCGCATCGCTGAAGACCTGGCCGAAAGTCGAGGGTGCTGATGGCTGCACTTGGACGTCGGAGGACTTCAGCCGCATTTTCGCCTCGTGCAGACATCGGAACTCCTGAGCCGTCCCACCCTTGTCAGGCGTCCGCATCGGCAGCCGTCTCGATGCCCAATATCCAGGTGCTGAAGTGTTGCAGACCAATGCAGGATCAGGGAACGTCCATCAGCGGCGCACGGAGAAAACCTAAGACTCTTTTTCGCACGAACGGCAAATGCTTCGCACTGCGCTTGCTGTGCTTCGTGTCACTTCCTTGCTTCGGACACACAAAGTCCCTCTAAGAAGTTGCATGCCTTATGTCCATGCCCATCAAGGGCGCTGCAGCACATTTGGCTAATTATGGAGTTAGCCCATGATGGCTCTGTACTTACGAAGTGTCCCCTCAGGGGGACTACATGCTGTCTCCTCATTCGCCTA